TGTGCCAAGATGTTAGAAAATCTTCTGTAAACTACAGTTATATGCAAAAGTTTATAAAAATTATCTTTTAAATATAAACTGCATGAATACAATACAAAACTATATAAATTCTAATACACAACAATAAATGAATATATGATGTGGGTTTAAAAAGAAATGGATGAACAGGAAATAAAAAATCCCAAGCTATTATGAATACAAGGGAGTTTAAAATTTTTTATTAACTTTGAAAATGCTACAGATACTCATACTTTTCAATTATTGTTAATTAAATGTGTTTCAAAGTATATCGGTTAGAGAGGTAATTGGAAAACAAAATAAATACTTTAACGTTTCTTATATTACAATATGGAATCTCTAAGGAAGTTAAATAATTTTAAAATAACTTCAATGATTATAAAAATGAAAAGGTAGTAACAGTTTACTAAAACATATATTAATAATAATATTGGTGCAAACTTAGAACCTCGGTTTGACAAACTGAGTTTAATAAGCACAATTTTTTAAATTAACTGCAACTATTTACCTAAAATGGTAAATATGAAAACATTTAAAACTATTAGAAGAAGACTTGTTAATATTTATCAAGAAACAAATACTTATATTAACTCTACACATTCATATTAATGTATTTTCTCAAATTCAATATTTGATAGGTTGGTTATGCATATAAATTGATCAGTGTATGAATGTCAAAACTTATATATATATCAGCAAGGCTAGGCTTTGTAAAATGGTTTGGAGTTCTTGGGAAGCACTAAACATTTCTGGTTCATTATTCTTTTAAGCATTACAAAACTGTAAATATGGGTTTAATAGAATTCATATTCACTTTAGCGTGTTCCAGGTTTTTATTTAATATTTGTTTTATATGCACAATATTCACAATATCTGAAAAATGAAAATAGAAACTTATTGTCTCAATCTAATGTTCCATTTATTAGGCTAAATGACTTTTTGTTGCAAAAATGTTCTTCTTCTGAATTCAAGATCCTAGAAAAGAGGAGAATGCATATGCAAAATCATGCATTTCCCAGTTTTTCTTACATTTGGATCTGCCTTGGTACAATATTAGTCGGTATATTAAGTTCATTCGTGCTTATTTGTAAAGTAATATATAAAATGTAGTCCTAATAAATAATAAATAAAATAAAATAGTCCTAAAACCATAATTCTTTCAAGAATTACTGCAGCAGGTCAACGATACCATCAGAAATAGCAGTTTAATGTTCTTTTATGTTACTTGACAAGAGTCTGTGCCACCACTTTCTAATTTGTTCATGATACTGTTGATTTTGTTCATTAAGGCTGAAGTTTTAATAAGTCTTTTAAATATCCAGTCTATATTTTGAAGATTGTGATGAAATTCCTTCGTCATTGGCATTGAGAGATGTAGTGGTCTGAGTCACCCTACTCCCTATATATGGAAATGTGAGAAGAAATAGTATGTGGGGAAGAGGCTATGATATGTTACATACTGGATAAGAGACTGGTTGGAACTGTTAGTTTCTCTGAAGTTTTTCGGAAGAAATCGTGTGCCGTCCTTCCTTCTGGAGCGGAGTCTCATGCATGTTGCCAGCTTTCCAGTGCTATTATTTATTTTCAATCTGTACTTTAGATGACAGTGCGGCCAACGGGTGTTGACAAATGAACGTATCTGCATTTGAGTTGCTTGCTTTGCAAGTTCATCTGCTGCCTCCTTTCTTGATCGAGTGCCCTATTATTCAGGACACAGTGTAATATATTTCATTTTGGGTTGAGACTGAATTAATATTCAGTATTACTAGCGAGCAGTTCACTGGATTTTTCACAGCCAGAAGTCCTACTCGACTGTCGGTGAGAACATTTATTTTCAAATGTAATTCAGTAGCACAGGAGAATGCTACTTGTATGGGGGGGGGTTAATTCTGCTCGGAAACCGATGTTGTTGTTCGAAAGATATTTAATGGAGATAATTTCGATCACAGCCGCTGCCCCACTTTGTTATCAATTTTTTAACAATCAATGTATATTACAGGCTATTGTTTGTGGATTCGTCCTGGCTGGATGTTAAGTGTATTTTGTTTGCAGAGGATGCCTGATATTTTTTGTGGGGGAGAGATTATTGTTCGAATTATTCTGGGATGAACAATTTCCCTCTCAGTTCCCCACTTTGTTTTAGTTGTAGATCTTAAGTACTTGCTGCTTTAATTTCTGCCGTAATGTTGAGGAGAATTACTCTCAGAGAAAAATGGATTATGTTTGAAGTCGTTCTGTAGACTCCGCTCCGTGATCTGCAGGAAGAAAGATCTTCGTATCACTCTAAGTGTTCTTATTTTTATGGCTGCCACTGGATGAGCCCATATTGCTGCTCCATATGTTATTATTTTGAAGATGACTGTTTGAACTAGTATATTCGTCATATGCGGATTTTGGCTCCATTTGAAGCCTTGCGCACAACGTAAGGTTGTAGTCATTACATTTGTTCGAAGCTTCAGAATTTGGAGGTGCGGAATCCAAGAAAGTTTGTGGTCTATTGGATTACCAAGATATTTGATGCTTTTTTCATTTTTAATTCTATGGTCATCGATTTTCAGAGGTATATTTTTGTGATTTTTCCCCTTCCCTTTATGAGTTATTAGTACTAGAGTCTTAAAGAGAGCAATTTTTAGCTTCATTTGTGAACATTAGTTTTTAAAGTTATTAAATGATTCGTTACTATTATACTTTAGGTTTTCTACTCTGATGCCACTTGTCTCAAAAGCTATGTCATCTGCACAGGAAAAATTTTGGAATGAGGAGGCCACGTAAAGTTGACAATTTTATTGAATGCAAAGTTCCACAGGTCTGTACTCATGTAAGATCCCTGTGGACATCCTCTTGTTTGGTTTCTTGAGATTATTTCATTATTATGCAGAACAATACCTTACCGTTGTAGGGAAATTCTTTAGTAATCAGAAAAGTATTTTTATGGCAAAAGCTGTTCCTGCAGTACTGCTGGCCATTAGAGATAGTCAAAAGCATTGACAACGCCCAGGCATATGATTATTGAATATAAATGATTCACTTTATTGCTGTTTACCTGTTTGATTAGTTAATCAATGGCATTAATTACGGAGCACTGACTGCGGAATCCGTACTGATAACGGCTTATATAAGGGTTCTTGACGAATAGAAATTTTAGTCTTCCAATGATGCACTTTTCGAGAATTTTACCCAAGGCTGGGAGAAGACTGATGAGCCGGTATTCTATGGTCATCGTTTCTATCATAGGCTATCATTTCTTGCTAGATTTTTGATCATCTGGGTGATTTTCAAAGAAATATTCACCTGGTGTAGAGGAGATTTCTATGCAGTTTCTTAGTATCCTCTGTTCTTCAGTGCCTTCATTAGAACAGTCTCAATAACAGAGCCAAATATAAGAATAATTGCTGTGGATGTGGCATTCGTCAGATTTCTTGAAGAATGCAGGGATGCAGGGGAATGTATCTAGGGCAATGTTGAATACTTTATTCGCTGCGATTCTGTAGAGAGGACCATATATATATCTTTATTTTAAGAATAGTAGCTATGCCAGTATCTCTGTTTTGCTGTAATAATCATTCTCTTATGGATTGCCCTTTCTTTGCGGTATTGTTCACATACTGATTTCTTTATATTTTCGTCTCTTTTCTCATTTCATTGGTCTACCAGATAATAGTTAATTTTTGTCGGGGAAATTTTTATTTTGAATTTATTGCTGTTTGAATTTAATTTATTGCTGTATATCTTAAATTCAGTTGGAGCCTAAAATAAAAATGCGTTCATTACTTTATTATTTAACTAATCTAATTTCATTTATGTATTACCTCTCACCAACTTACATATATATGTAAGGGAGGTAATGTTTACGATTCAAAAATTCAATGTTGAGTTTTCAATGAATAATACGAATTAGGGTCCTCATAATGTATGCCCGTGAGTATGTGTGCGTGATGATTTTTTCGTCCACGATAACCTTATATGAAACTTCCAAAAAGTTCCGTTTTCTGTATTTTAGCTTTCTATATTCATATAAAGAGTTGATTAGATTTGGGGTAAAAGTTGAACAACTAGAAATGACACTTTACTTGAAACTAGATGGGCGTGAGCACGCTTGAATCGAAGCATCCGAAGGCATGCTGTGCCAGCGCTTAAGCAAGACTGCCGATAATGTGAGGGAGCTTTGGATGCTCCAACAACACTAAGAAGAATTTCTTGACAGTTGGTCGAAAGCGATATACAGTCATGCCTTTCTTTACAAAGACTGCCACAGTGTCGTGAGAAAGCCATTTGGACTATATAACAGAACAGGGTAGTATACAGCAACGCTCAGATCTGTTTTAAGATGACACTAGTCAAGTAAGACCATGGTGGTGATGCGGAGGTGCAGTCTGGATGCAATTGTGCCTAATGCTAAGTGCCAGCTTCAAACGGAGATCGAATTGTGGGGGAACAGTTGAAAGCATAATGTCATCCATCCCTCAGAACACTGCCTATAAGCTCATTTTATCTGTACCTCGAAAGGTTGCTTCTTGTATCGTCTCATGTATATTCGATCGCTAAAATGCATTATATTTTTTAATTTAAAATCACTTATTCATATATGCATTGTTTATCTATATGCCAATTGTCATCATATTCTAGTAATTCATTCAAGGTATTACATTTTCTCGTTTGGCAGTGTATCTCTGTATTTATTCTTGACATAACTGGATATTTTCGGTCAAGGGTTTTCAAGCAGAACTCATCACATTCCAAGTTAAGAGACCTCCTCTAAAAGACATTTTTGCCATTAAAAGTGCTATGCTTTCGTTTACAATTATTATTGGGTATGAATATATTTAATTTTGCTTAGCGTTGTTGAATTACACAGATCGGACTCAAGGAAAAAAGTTGCGAAATATCTTAAAATTTGCAAATGCTTTTCAGAACGAAATAACTAATGAAGAAACTGACAGAAAACAAATTCATAAAGAACCTTTGAAAAATTTTATACTTACCAACTTGAATCTTTGCAACTTTGGTCCTGCTGCAATCAAAGGTCGGTGTTAGAGGCAGTTTTAACTGCTTCTCGTAAGCTCCTATAAATACAAATAAGCATATATATATTTGTCATAACATGAAACAAAAAATGCTCAAACATAAGCATGCTTTAACTAAACAGATGTTTCAATTTTAAAAATAATAGATTTCTTTTACATTAATGCATGAAATTAAACTTTAAGAAAATACAAGGTCTGAACTACAGAGGAAGAAGAAAACAATTTCCAACTCTTTGCGCTGGCGTATTACAGATTTGTTCAATGGTACTGATATCAGAAATTGTGCAGGTATAACAGCGAGTTTCAAGAAATTGACTACGCGACATTTTCTGACTCCAAAGTTTATTTGCAGTCCGCAATACAATAACTTGTGCAATATAAAATCATTGCTCTACAAGTAGATTTTTATCAATCATCGGCTTTCATAACGCCGTATACGTTCGTAACGCGTTTACATAGCCGTATGCATCCCAAAAATGTTCTAAACCTTTTCTTTTCTAATCAAAACATTTCACATGCATTTTTTTTCACACGCATGATTAGGTCAGAATTTTGGTTTACATTCGGCATAATAAGTAAACAAAATATAGCTTTAAGTTATGTGTACCTGCGAAATGTAAAATAATGTTAGGATATTGCAGAAAAAGGATATGCTGTAAATCTACATCAACAGAAATGATGGCAGAGTTGTCATCTAAGTTTAATGATTCAGGCACAATAAATAACTTTGTAGAGGAAAAGAATTTACAGGTGATGCATGGAATATAAGAGTTTCTTGAATTTCCATTGAAGCCTAAATGTAGGAAACACTGCTGAGTATAAATTTTAAAATTATATTGCTAGTGATATCAGAAAAAGAAAAATGCATATTTAGAAATAGTAAGTCGGTAGTTGAGAAATTGTTAGTGAATAGCCACAGAAAATTAGCTTACGTTAATGAGTATGAGATAAACATTATTAAACAGAAAGAAGGAACAATGTTATAATATAAATGCAAGAAAAACTAAAATTAAATATTATTACATATTACACATGGAGAAAGAGAAAACAGACATCAGGAAACAATACATAATTTCAACACAAATTTCTTCATAGTATTATAAGAAAGGTGAGAAAGAAGCATACAATGAAAGTAAATAATAAATACCAACTATCAGGGTTTGTTAATAATATTCGATGCTTCATTAAAAATATAAAGTATTTTTACTTCTGAAGCTACATAGAAGTTGCGTAGCATGGTGCGACATCCTTTTTTCTTATATATATATACATAGTTTTCAGTAGCCTGAAGGTTAATGCTTTAGGAAAGAAATACGCCCGAAGAAAGAACTGGTATACAATAGGTGGTCTATTTCTGGATCACAGGATTGCAGAAATATGAGTACAATGCGGCATGGACTTCATAAACTCTGATGTACTAAATGATAGCAATTAAACAGAAAGACGAAGTTGATATTTTGGATAAATTTATTGGAATTAGTAACGTGTCAGGTAAATTTAAAAGTTGGCTACTTATCTTGATTTAGTATTGATAAAAATCATTGCTAAATCACGCAGGTACAAACCCTGTGCCGTATAATGAAGAACAAAAGGTAAAAAAAAAAAAAAGAAATTGAAAAAAATTTTAATAAGATAATAGAATTTTCATACATAGAATGCTGATATTTTAACTCATTTTCGAATTTCAAGAAGGCGTTGTGATGCATCACAAGAGAGCTTGAATAGTTCTCCAGATATGAATGCGAAAGGAGAATATGGATTATCATTCGTAATTTGGAACTAACAGCATTCACTGATTGAAAAAAATAAAGAAACTTAGACTTTTAAGTGATCTGCTGCGTAATTTGTGCCCCAGGTCGCTTCATAGAAATTTAAATACTTCCTATTTCAAGCATTCATATTTATTCGATTTTCTTGAATTTATTTATTAAAACTTCAAAGCAACTGATCTTACCTCGTAAGAAATAATAGTAGGCCTTACAACAAGACACAGCTACAAAAACTATTAAGTATTCACTTCTTTTCTAAACACTTAAAATGAATATAGATTAATTATTCTTTACCTTGCCGATAAAATTCTTGGCATACTTGATAGCTCCACCTTTGACTTATTGCCCATGGACGGCAAGGGTTGCATAGATCAGCACACTTTAGCGCTATCTGTATATAGATATATAAAGAAAAATATGTTTCAGTATTTATAAAACAATAGAATATAATCATAAGAATATAAAAAATCATAAGTATTTTCGGTAAAATTTCCTTTTCCCATCGCTTTTCTTCCCTTCCAAACTTACTTCAGACTTTTCAACATTCAAATTTCTTCCTAATTTTTATCGCTTCACGGACGCTGTTTTTATTACTCTAAAAAGCATTGTTTTCCAATTTTTTTCTTTTTTTCTGATAATTGTGGCAATGCTTTTAGTACCACTGAGAAATCTACTAGTTCAATATATTGAAAACTCCAGTCAAGTAATTTATTTGATTTTAAATAAGGTGGAAATATTCATCTTTATAGAAGTTTAAACAGTTGATTTATCAAAATATTTCCAAATACATAGATGTATGCCAACTGAAAATCCAATCCTTAGTAGGCACAGAAGCGATATGTCAGAGATATGTTAAGTGATATTGTGGTAAGTAATAGGTGCATCGCTACTAAAAAACTGCTTTTAATTAGTTGCTAGAACAGCAAACTGGTAGCTAAATTAGTCAAATTACACCATTAGTAACATTTCACTTTTTATGCACAGGATATAAAACCAAGTAACAAACTACTTAAGAAAATTAATAAAATTAAATATGCGAAGAAATGGTGAAGAGCATTAGCTCTTCGGCTTAGGAATGAGCTAATCAAATAATGGAAAGACGAATGCGTCGAAACGAAAAATTTGCTTCAAAATCACTTTTTCACCCCTCTCCACTGAATGACATACGAAGGAACTTTGCAGGAGAATGGACTTAGAAGTTTAAAGATGGTGATTTTTCAAAATATTTTCAACCATACACATGCATGCCAACTGAAGATTCAATGGGTCGCGAAACAATATATAATAGACGGAATAATTAGTCTCAAGAGTATTGTTACTAAAAGGATGCTATTAAATAAATGTGTATCAACGTTCAGTTTGACTCTCTTTAAAAATATCATACATATCCCCCCTCCCTAAAAAAACCTAATGCAGCCAGCACATGATCACTCGCCAATTCGATATATTAAATACCAGAGCTTAAAGCAAAGTCTCACTTCCGATTGATCCTTAGCAAACAACATCTGTCTTTCCAATAACTAACTGGCCATGTGTAAAAACTGGTTTTCAAAATTTATACCTATATAATAAAAAGGTTGCCACTTAATTTTTTTAATTAAAAATAGTATTTTATTGGAGAGTTGAATAATATATAATTTAACTAGTTTTTAATTAAAGAAATTAAGTTAGCTCAACAGTATCTTTGTTGTTTCAGCAGCATTTTTTAAACCTGAAACCACGCTTGAAACGAAGGTTGTTTTTCGAATGTGATTGGTTGCCTTCGGTCAGAGTCGTAGCTAGGGTTTTCAGCGCACAGGAACAACTGAAGATTTCGCGCCCCCTACTGCTTGCCAACATGGAGGTAGGAAAGGGAGGAGGGGCCATTCCGCGCTAGAAGTGAAGCACTGCTTTGAAGCTTGGGTCACCAGACGGGGTGTTCTTTGTTTACATTCAGAAGCTCGCTTGACAAGATTCTGATAGTATTTCGACACACGACAGTTCCATAGAAATCGAAAAAGGGACACTCTCTCGCATGAAAGAAAAAAACATTCATAGTGTGATGGATAATAGCAATTTGTATAGTTTACTGACATTTACGCAAAAAATCACATCTTGGTTATTTTTCGATAACTAACAACAGCGATTTTGATTATGAATTTGTTTTATAAAATTCTAAGCTGTTGCACTACAAAAATATAGATTTTAAGAAAATTGCTAAAAGAGATCTGCCAAAATTTATTTTCTAGAAGATTTGAAAAGTTTGAAACTTGATGGCTAAATGTAAATATAAAATTATGTATGTTTAAAAATTTGTAATTAGGCACATAGGTCAGATTAAGTTTTTTATTAAATAGAGAGTAACGCATGCAAGGGCTATCTGCCTAAAGAGAGAGATGCCATCGTGGAGGAATTTTGAAGAAAAAAAAACTCACCTTTGAGTGGGTATTAAAAAAACTTATAATTTTCATTCAAATTATATTCATATATATTTTTTATGTAAAACTTTCGGGTGTATGCTAAATTAGTGTAAATTACTTTACACGAAAAATATAGTGAATGCACAGAAATTAAAGATTTGCACATGCCGGAAATGATAAATAGGAAATATGTATGGGTATTTATGCATGTGCTTGCAAAAAGCATGTATCTGCCTTTGACAAAATACTTAAATATTCATTAAATTATTTATAAATGTATTTGAAATGAAGAATTTATTCACTTATGAGCAACTGTGAAAGTACTGTGAAGAAATCTAATGATTAAATGTATCTAATTTATAATGATTATAAATGTTATCTAAATGTATAATAACCTTAATATTGAATTGTAAACATAAATTGAAATCCTGTTGACAAATAAGTTATAAAACTATTTAAACAAGAATTGTTCGTATTGGAAAGCAATCTGTAAAAGGTATTGTAAAGCAAATGCTATGAGATGCGCACTTAAGAACGTAATAAAGAGTTTTGGAATATGTATTGTTGAAATGAAGGGTAAAAAAAAATCTGATAAGTATAATTAAAAGAATTATTCCCTTTACATTTTATAATAACTCAGTTACAAGTTTTAAATAATACTTAAAAAAAAACTTATTTTATTCCCTTTCAGAAATGTTCAGAGAAAGTCAAATACTATTTAATACCTATTTAATTATTAGGAATTAGCGAAATATTTTAAATAAGTATTTCGCTAATTCCTAATAATTCTCTAATTTAAAATGAACCGAATAGAGCATTAATTATAAATTGACTTACATTTTTCGATTTAAAAGAAGCCAAAAAATCATGTCATATTTAAGAAAGTATTTTAGGAAGAAGCTCTATAAATAGAAAAGAAATAATGCATAATTTTAATACTAATAATACAATAAACTTTGATCTTAATTTTTGTACCTTAACCGAATAAAATCGAATTACCTTAATTTTTTTTTCTAATGTAATTAACGAAAACTTGTGAAAAAATATTTCATTCAAATTAAAACCATTCTGAGAAAACTGTCCTGTGAAAAGTATAGCATTTAATTCCGTTCAGAATGAAATGTTGTTTAAAAAAATATGTTGTTTTCACATACTTAGGACTCTGAAGTGTTGTAGAAAAAGAAAATATATACATTTATATGTATATTTGCGACGTAATTACAAAATATTTACACCCGAACGCGTCAAATCCCATAGAACTCAATGGTAAATGACCCAATGTTTTGGTCACCACGTAGGGATCGCCGGTGCTTCAGAGCAGGGTACGGAGAAACTTGTTTAGGGCGACTCCATCTTACTTCCTACCTCCATGCTTGCCAAGGATGGAAAACATTTAATTCTAAAATAACGTAACATCAGTTTGGCGCCCTTTGGATTCTGCGCCCGGGGACAGATGCCCCCCTTGCCCCCTCTAGCTACGCCCCTGGTCAAAGTCTGAATATAGCGGAAACAATGAATGAGCAGCACAATTTGACAAACCTGTCAGCCAAACTTTATTATTGGATTTCATTCTTTTCCACGAAAATCTATTAAGAGTTCCAAGTACCACTTCTGGTTTATCATATATAGCCTAATTCTAATATGTTGTTCTCAATCATATAGGAGTTTTTAATACAAAATTTGAAATTGTTTGGAAAATATCATAGTATATATTTTCAACAACATCTGTTCAATGCTTCACGTAAGTATCATTTCCGTTTTATCAGTTTTACCCAGAACCTAATACGTTGATCTCATTGATACAAATGTCTTATATTTAAACTGAGAAGTTTTGGATAAATAAATTTTCATTAAAAATACATGGACTTCAAGTAAAATACCACTTTCGGTTGTCCAGCTTTATCTAAAATCTAATCAACTCTTTATATGAATACAGAAAGCTTAAATACGGAAAACAGAAATTTTAAACATTAGTTTCATTAATCTATGTATATAAGTTGGCACGAGGTTAAAAAAAAATAAGTTCTACTGATAAACGAAACTAAATTTTCGAAGCTTCAATATCATTGCAAGACAAGTACGCTTTTTATCAATTTAAACAGTACTGAAATTATGTATCAATAAAAATAGGAAATAAAGGAAACATTAAAATTTCTGAGCTAAAAATACTGAGAACATTACAGTTTAATGGCTAATATGCAGAATAAAGCAATATTTCTCAATTTATACTACATCTATTTAAACTGCAAAGCAAATTACTTGCTGGACATGAAAGGAAGCAAAGTACAACATGCACTATCTATACAAATAAAGTGCAACTCGTAATTCTTTTAAGTTACTCGTCATTGGTCGAATACAAATCTTATATTATCCACAAAGTATATCTACTTAGAAAATTTCTGACAGCGCAGAGGATTTTACGGAAGCGTTTGAAAAAGGGCACTATACTTATTTCTTAAACACTGATCCTAGAACCTACACATACAGACTTTTCCTAACTATAATAGTTCTTAAAATAAGAGAGAATTTGAGAAAATGTTTATACACTGTGGTTGTCAGGGTTCTGTAAAAGGCGAAACAGAAATACGATTAATAAAAAACTCAACAGACATGATTAATAAACCTTTTCCAGCGGAGAGCTCCAAATTCAATAACGAATTTCATTTCGCACAAGATGAAACAAAAAATAAATAAATAAAAGGCTGATGTGTACACCACATGACTTCCTTGTACGGAATATTAAATTATACGCAATTGTTTCCTTCATTTCATTTAAATTAACTTCCTTGAATTTCATTAGAGATATATTTCTCATTCACTAATTTATTTCTCACTTCGCGGCAAGGCAAAAATACATAAAAACTCAAAGTACCTTCATTAAAAATTGAAAGATATAGAAAAACATAAAACATTCCATACAGTAAAACAATTAAAAACAATTTTTACAATTAAAATTTACAGTTTCTACGCAAAAGCAAGCAATTCGGCCAGCAGGCAAGAAGGTAGATTTTCCGGTGCACAAAACTAAAAGTTTCCTTTTGGTCCCGCTCGGCAGAAAGACACTGAAGATGCAGAAATAATTCATTCACTATTCTGCTAAGTTTCATATGTAAACAAATATGGCTGCTATGGTAACACAAGTTAGGCTTAGCCGCACTTAAACAACATTTAAATAGTTGACAATTCTACAAATATTGCATGCAGATTAACTAAAAGCATAAATCCTTAACCGGAAGATAAGAACAACATAATTCAATCATTTTTAAAGCAAAAAGTGTACAATTTACCAACATTTAAGAATAAAAAAAATGACATCTCTGAGTAGAGTAACAGAGTGTGTTAATTTTGATTTTTTTAGACTTTGTGTTAAACCTCTTATACACGGTCGCAATTATTAATATTGTTGAGAATTGCCTTGCTTTGAACCTAATTTAATATTAACTTTAGATGCTTTGTGAGGTTTTACTTTATTATTTTCAGTTTGACATTCCTGTTTCTCCTGATTTCAGTTTTATTGCCAGAATGTAAATTTTGTATGATGCAGATGTAAATTTTAAACGTGTTTTAGAAACAGTATTTAATCTGAATTTCAAGAGTTCAATGGAGTAGTAGCGGCCTTAGTTCCGATTTTTATGCTGCGAGTTTAAAATTAGCTCTCTAGTCCGGTGTTCGACACCTTTCACTTTATACTGATGTTTCTCGGCTCGGAGCGTATTCGAGAGGTCCCTGGTTCGAGTCCCGGCGAGGGCATTGCTCATTTTTCAATTCTCCTGCTTCGAAATAACCTAATAGCTCTAGATTTTAAGTTTACACACACACACACATATATATATATATATATTTGAGTTATGCAAGATACATACGTAAGTACAGCCGCAATGAAGAAAATCTCTTCTGAATCCATTTTAAATCAGTGTTATAATTCGTTTTGGGAAAAAGAGTCCTTTATTCTGTCGTTACGTACTGATGTCACGCAAAACCATCGTTAAATTGCATTCGATAGCGGTCACAGTGGATATTTTCGTTGAAATATGGTACCCGGAATGTTTCGTGATTACAATATTTTCTTTACTTTGTATAAGGAAGTAAAAAGGGGTTTTTGAAAAAAAAAAAAACTTCTTCATAAAATTTGATCTCAAAAGTAATGAATTATGTCTGTAGCAGGCGTGGAAAATTTATTAAAGTAAATAAATTCGCTTTTGAATTTCTTGTCGAATAGTAAAGGTACGGGACATTTCCTAACTCAGTACAGTAGTTTTAATTCATAAAACATTAACGGCATTAAAATTATTATATTCCTACCTGGAATTTTTTCTTTGCAAGGATTATATAAAAGTTACAATTTTATTTTTACAAAACTATCTTTATTCTGAAACTGTCTTCATGAAGTTCTCTAACCTTCTGTCAAGGAACTACACAAATGAAAATACATTTAAAAGAAAAATAGTTACAGGTAAAAAAACACAGCACCCATTTTTTTCAAACATTCTAGATATAAATTTTAAGCTGATTCCGGTGAACCAAATATGAAGCCAGGAAATAGTTTTTGCAGAAAAACTTTGATGAATTGGATTCATCTTAAATGGACGTAATTATATTTGAATTTTATTGAATAATATATGAGACACAAAATTCAGACCGCATCATATTTGAAAACTAAATTTTTTCAGTATATAAGAACTTTGTTACACACGTTTAGCTCTATTCTAATGAACTGAATCATTCCATTCTCTTTAAAATAGCTGACTTCACACACAGATTAAAAAGAAATACATCAGTTAAGTTCCCTATAGCATTTATTGTGGAAAGAGGTACGGGAGTATATATTCAGCTTTCATACGGTTTTTTATTTCCTTCTAATTACTTTATAGCACACAAAGTATGACTTTTAAAACACTAGAAAGTTAGACTGATCTTTGGAATATGGTAACAGGTAGTTTGGCGACATTTTGGTAAGGCGATAAAGGTTACTAGCTAGGACTTTAGCAGTGTATATGGATAAAGTCAAGAGTGTGCGCAATGCCATTTTTGTGCAATTCAGGGATGTCTTTTTAAGTGAAAATAGGTCGACGTGTACATGGATACCGTGTATGTGCAATTCTTAAAAACGCAGTGGGCGATTCTGCACTTTCTCCCAATTTCGCACCTAATCTTCGTCATGATTAAGCACTTTTGTTCCATAAAAGTTCTAGCATAAGCGTAATTCGGCTAGCAGATTGTTGAGAAAAAATGTTGAGTTAAAAAAAAAAATGCCTTTACTTCGTGAAAACAAAATGGCGTCAAAAAAAAAATACTAGCAGGTTGCTGTAGCAGGGTTAGTCGCCACATTTTCGCCAAAAATCGCCAAGTTACCATAATCCGAAGATTAACCGAAAGTTATTTTATGCATAACTTGATAAAGTCTGTAAAAAACTGATTTCATGAAGAAACAAGCAAAAATAGGATTTAAAGCGATTATCTCTCTTAAAATGATTGCAATGCAATGCAGAAAATCACACATTTTTGCTCCCCAGTACTTCACATAAATTGTATTTCAGAATACCGCCCATTTCTACTATTCGCAATTCTTAAAAATAGCGCATTATTTTTCTTTAAAATTCCCATATTTATATTTAGAAAATTCCATACCATTAAGATAATGTTTATGATTAGAAGAATTTTGCATTAAAAATAAATTACAATGAATAATACCTGTAAAGCAAAGTGGCGGTACTGCGTTTTCTCCATATCCAAACACTCAGAATTTAAGTAGCTCTGAAACAAAGGAAATCTTTTATGAAATAGACATTGCTTCATAGCTTACATTACTTACATACAATAAGTAATATCATTTATTCAGGTTAGTAAATGAATAAGCAGATCTCTTTATTCTTTGAATTTTATTCTAAAGAAAACTTTTATGCATACTAAAATTATATTATGCAATAAGTATTTATGCAAAACCGAATGCATATGTTATGTATATTATGCATTAAGTTTTAAAACACTAGAAAGTTATTTTATGCATAATTTGATTATATAATATACTTTAGTTTTCATTAGATTATATATATAGTTTAGTTTATAATTATATTTTTAATATAGTATAGTTATTATATAATATACTTTAGTTTTATTGTTCAAATATAGTTTTCTTTCTAAAGAAAACCATATTTGCATTTTTGCAAATATTGAAAGTTGTTTTCTTACAATTTTTAGTAATACCACCTTACAAACAAATCTCACTACTAAAACCCAAAGCTTAAGATATAAAGTCAACATTCAACTTACTTTAAATCTAGCTAGGAATTCCTTTTGCCTGGTTATATCAGTTGCTAAGATAAGAGATCTAATTTGGTTTTGAATATCTTGCCTAAAAATCATATTGTAGAGTTATAGTCTGATAGTTACAATTATATAAAAATATATCAATATTCGACTTAGTAAATGATTTTTTAAATATAATTTTTAAAAACAAATTTAATGGTTGTAATACAGATTTATTAGGTTGACAGAAAAATATAAAAACTAAACATATGTTCAAACAGTTAAAATTAGTGCATTATGAGGTACAGAATGAAATAATAAATAATGCGCATAAAAACAATGAAAAAAATTATAAGCAAATTTACATGTGATGATATTAGCATGAGTGACAAAGACGTTCTGAGATTAGTTTATAGAATCATGTTTAGTTTTGAAGCACATTATTTCTTTCAAATTATATTTTATTTTTGTGAACTGTAGTATTAAATAGGGTGTTAAAAAACACTAATTTCTGTTTATCATTTGAATATACTGCTGTTTTAACACTGACGGTTTAACATTTGAATAAACTGAGCTTTAAACACTGAGTTCAGTTTATCCGTTGCTGCTAGATCCACATTTATTTTCATTAGCAAAAATTTGCAAAATGCCTCAGAATGTTAGGTTATGAGAAGCTGGTGTTTGTGAAAGGTATTTAACATAATAATATATGGCTTAAATATTATGTAGTCTCTTGAAACAATCTTCCATTAAAATGAAGGAAAAGAAAGAAAAATGGCAGAAGCTTCCTGTCTTTACAGTAATGTAGTAATGTATAGTTTATTTTTTGCCATGAAAACAATATCGCAGTGGTGAAACAACTCCAGACTTGTACCACTTTCCCTTGCTCTCGAATGGATTTCCGGGGGGACTAAATAGAAATTTCTATTTTCAAACAAATTTCCTTTGACTGCGAATTTTTTTTTTTTTAAACTTTACCCCGTTTTCTATTCAAGTGGACAAATATGCCATAAATAAGGTAAATTTAGCATTTGGGATTTTTTTGACAGACAGTTTTCACGCCAAAGGCTGGGACATATATGTTCCAGCCGTAGTTAATGGTGGGATACATATGTCCTACACGTAGCGATCGATTTATAATAAGCATACCTATGATTCTGGAAAACTTCATTATATGAAATAGATTTTATAACGTATGGTATTCTTTGCATAACCCAACATTACACATTGGGCAACTCATATTTGTTCTTTCCTCCATGTTCATTTGCGTACAACAAGCACAGCGGCGTTTTGATTTTCCAACTATTGGAAGATGATCCCCAACATTCAGGAGACTCTAAGCACTTTTAAACCCAGCAGTAATTTTTAAAATTTTAGTGGGACATGTATGTCCGTTTGTAGTCAAAGGGTTAAGTCGCCACAGAACAAAAGAGGTTGAAGTTCGATTTAAGTATGAAATGTTTGAATACTTTAAAAATTGCATAAAATATTTCTTTTTCCGTTCCTGCTTCGTGGAAATTCACACCAATGTTATGTAATACACAGCGGACTACAATTTAACCTACTAAAGGTTTCATTCCGGTACTATAATTTAAAATTTTGAAAAAAAGATTTAGAAAGTTCTGAAATTTAAAAACAAAATATTCGAAAATAAGGAAAAATCACTAGAAAAGCAAGGGCGACTGCATCGAAATACGGTTACCAGCCGAAAATATGATGATTTCGAAAAAAACCAAATAATTTTGAGTAGGTGTTTATCAATTAATTACTAAATATCTCTGGTAGCAAAAGTTGGAGCGTCTATCAAATTACATCAGGTTTGAAAAATTACCACTGTGACACCTCCTACTTCCCCCCAACATGTCTCTTTGGATACAAAAACGATTTTTGTCCATTACAAAATATCTCTATACATACACATTTAATTATCTACCCAAAGTATTTAATGCCTTGCAGCTTGTTACATTATTTACAATATGTGTTAATGTTTAACAGTTATATATGAAAACTGCTACATATATACTAGGCTATAAAAACATTTCAAGCTTAAAAATTTGAGTGTAATTAATGTTTGAAATTTAATGAGTAATTATCACAAAATCAAAAATGCCCGAAAGGCGACAAAGACATCCCAATCGAAACAGCTTTATTTCTTCAGCCAGCAAGGTGCCAGTTAAACGCTAAATCTATGTAGAACTCCGCGTAGAGTGAGCTCTTGTATTTTCATTAGTAATTCATATTTTCAATTAAAATTTTTCTTATTGAATTACCAGTGCCAGCCTTCTTTGTATTAAGTGTCCAGAAAAGCGTTTACACTTGAAAATTATGATTATTATTTATAAGTGCGTACAGAAGCTGTCTTGTTTTTGTTTTGTTTATAAAACCATTATCGCCAATATATGGCAGCACCCAGAGTTCCAATGAAATACACAGAATATACACTCTTTTGCAAAACAATCGAAGCACCAAGAAAGACTTTTTCTGTGACGAAATTTGGTGTGCAAAAACATCTTAAATATGCAAATGGTCAAAGTTTTAAGGCAAATGAACAGGAATTGCGATCTTAGCGCGCATTTCTAGTGCGCAATTCGCAGAGTATAAAACCAGTAACAGAGGCGGAAAATTTATCTTTTTTTTTCGTTGCTGCCATTATAATTCCGTAAAGAAGCAACTAAAGATGCCATTACGACGATATCTAAGACCTTACAGACAACTAAACGACTTCGAACATGGTCGCATTGTAGGGTTGCGTGAAGCCGGGTGGTCATATCGAACAACAGGCCGCTACCTGCAGCGTACAGACACTGCTGTGCAAAGATGTTGGAAGCAATGGTTGCTGCAAGGAAATTGCTGACGAAATGAAGGCTCTGGAAGTCCAAAATGCTCAAATGAGAGGCAAGATAGATGACTGTTCGCCAGGCCCGAACCGCCTCCATGTCGACTATTTAACGCACTACAGCCATGCCTATACATCCCGTGGTACCGTTCACCATCTCACGGCGCTTGTCTAAAGCAGGGTTAAGCTCACAGATGCCTTTAACACGTTTGCCTTTGACCCCACAATTGGCCCACCAGCGGCCGAGCGGTAAAGTCGCTTAACACTGGTAGTTCGGTCCGAGGTTCGAATCCCGCGAACGGGCTGGCTGCATGGGTGTTTTCGTGATTTTCCCCATGTGTAACGTGTATACGAGCCAGTTTGAAGGCATCCCTCCCCTTAGGCAGATAGCCCTAGCGTGCTTTGCCATAATTAAATACACCACACCAACACCACACCTTTGACCCCACAACATCGGCGGAGTCGTCTGAGTGGTGTCGCAGCCGATCATCATGGCTGTCATCAGACTGGTATCGTATAGTGTTCAGCTATACGATACCAGTCTGGTGACATGATACAGTCTGATGATAAATCCCGCTTCGCTCTTGAAGCAGATAACCAACGTGTTCGTGTCTGATGAGGACGGGGCAGCGGTCCCAGCCTTTGGTTTACAAGCGCATACAGTCATAACCCCTGGTGTGATGGTGTGGGACGTTATTTCTTATGACAGCAGGTCATCTTTAGTCATCCTTCGTAATCTTTAACAGCTCAACGATATGTTGATACTATCCTGCGGCCGGTTGCATTACCTTCGTGGCACATCATCCTGGGTCATTTTCCAACAAGATAATGCAAGGCCACATACCGCTCGCATACCTCTGGATTGTCTCCCTGCACTTGATACTCTTCCTTGGCCAGCAAGGTCACCAGACCTTTCACCAATCGAGCATGTCTAAGGCATGATAGACCGCCAGATTCGGGCACCACAAAATATTGCAGATCTGGAGCGACAAGTGCTGAATGCCTGGCAGAATGTGTCGCAGGAGGATATTAGGAACCACTCCTTGCCTCGTCCAATTCAAGCATGCATTGCCGCGAGGGGCAATTCGACCAACTACTAATTTGAACACTCAATGGATGATTGTGAGTCAAGAAGAGGTACTTTGATTTTTTAATAATTTTACTACCTGTGTATGAGCTATAAACATATTCAATTTCATGAAAAACAACCACTTCCTTCATGGTGCTTCGATTTTTTTTACAAAAGAGTGTATATAAAAAAAAGATTTTGAATGAAGAGTTTTAAAGCTGCCTGGATTACCGCTTTCAACCGAGTTTATGGTATTGATATCAGGATGGAGCTTGACACCTCTGAAACAGAATAAGAGAAATCTTACTGTATACTAAACCAAAGATGCTCATTATGACAATAGAATTGATGTTATAATGCCATTTAGAACAATGTTTATCTACTCGAAATTTAAACTATCTATTGTGCTGTATAAAACCGCATTAGTTTTATCAAAACTGCTTAAAGTAAACACAAAATATTACATAAGATTACATCAGGTTTGAAAAATTACGACTGTACCACCTCCTACTCCCCCTCATAAGTCTTCTTGGATATACAAACGATTTTTGTCCATAACAAAATATCTCTATACATACGTATTTAATTATCTATCCAACGTATTTAATGTCTTGCAACTTGTTACATTATTTACAATATGCGTTAATGTTTAACAGTTTTATATGAAAACTGCTACGTACTACTATAAAACTAGACTATAAAAAGTATTTTCGATATAAAATAACATTTGAAGCAATTTTAAACAACATCAGAATAGATGCGTACGTAAATATCACATACCATACTTCTTTATCTAGATGGCTAAAAATACCAGATTCACTCAAACATGATATTGCTGTACGCCAATGATGATTTTCTAAAACCGATGAATTCTTAAAAAAAAAAAAAAAAAAAAAAAAAAAAAAAAAAAAAAAAAATTTAATTTATCAAAATATTTCATAGGCTAAACAACAGATCATGAAAGGATTTCTCATAAAAATATAATAAAAATGGTAAAGAAATTAAAGATAATAAATAAGAAAATTCCGAGACACTTCGATACTACTTTACAAGCAGAGCAAAATCTGAAATTCAGTGAAATACATAAAGTTTGGATAAAATCCTGCAGTGATAGATTGCTCACAGACCCCCCCCAAAAAAAAAAAAGGCTCTCACACCCCCCCCCCCCCCCAAAATCTGATATGTAGTTTGGTATTTTTATGAACATCCTTACTTTCGTCGGGCATAGCTTCGCAGTTTAATATCATTTCTATGCTGTATCCCAGGAAAAGGAAAACGTTTTAGGAAAAGCCAGATTTTAGTTGCAATACTTACCAATATATTAGCATTAAAACAGTAAATAAGATGAGAAATACAATGCCAGCGATTAGATGAGACCCTATATAACGTATTTAGGTACGGTCAAAAGAACTCGTTTAAGAAAGTTTACGCAACACATTAGCAATTACTTATCTGACGGTACCACATAAATTTCTAGCGTTTTGATCAGAAAATGCGAAACCAAGAGCTCTGATTAAAATACTGAAGTGTTTTGTTTTGTATAATGTTGATTGGTTTGGTTTGTTTGATTATCGCAAACCACACTAGGTTTGTTTACCTAAGGGAATGAATGCCTTTGTGGACGGCTTTCTAAGAGAAGCTGGCTAATACACTCGTGCGCAAAATCAAGAGAATTTGCCCATTAAGTCGAATTTCTAAAAATTTTATGGACAGATGTTAATGAAATTTGATATGAATATGCATTTATAACAGAGAAAGAGGTGTACAATTCAAAAGTCATTTACGCATGTATGCATGATTATCAGCAAAGCTCTTAGTGCAGGGCTGCCCAAAATCCGCGTTGTAATATCGTACTCAAAATAAGTCTATTATGGGGTATAATCCCTTCTCACAACAAAACAGGTCATGCAGCGTGATGATATACTTGGCAGGAGGTAGCTAAGGAGGCCTGTGGCAGCCGATCCCACACCTGCAACAAGGTAATTTTTATCTCCGGGATGGTTCTAGAAGTTAATATACACTTGAAATTTCAGACAATCCTAGGGAAAATAGTATGATAAGTCTGGAGAACAATCGCCTCCTTTAGAAATCAGATAACCGGGAAACATTTTCAGAAATCCTAGGGATGGAAGTTCTGGCATTGCGACGTTTCCCCATTTGCTGGAACCACATACTATTAAGATTTGCAATACTGCTAACCTACACTAATGTAAAAATAAGCGTCACACTCCGTGAATTAGAAAAATGAGTTTTCAAAAAATTAATTCAAGAAAGGTATGGCATTGTATATTAGCACATTGTATTGTAAGATAAATAAATATTTAAATTAATTCATTGTATATTTTTTAGTATCAAAATTGTAAAAATTCTTCGCCCACACAAAACTGTAGCACAAAACCGCATTAACAATACAGGAGACAAATGAAAACTTGTCAGAAGTAACTTTTAATATCACTTCTATCAAATTCCGCTCATTGAAAAATACACTAATGTGCAAAACTTAAGCACTTTTCTGGTTTTGATCGTAATTCCGCAAAACATCAACTGGGAAACATAGAATTTATACAACAGAGGCACAATGTAGTACTTAAAGGATGAGAAAAGAATAGTAGCAAAAAAAAAATTAATAGGATGCACAGAGTACGGAAAGAACAGAAAAAGACTCTAGACAGAAAGGCGTTGGTACAAAAAACTGTTAGGCCAAGAGAAAGAACAAACCATAGAACCTTAGTAAGGGATAAGACCTCGCCAATGGTTGCATTGCGCTGCTTTTCGATACACAACAGATTATCTAACAGTTTTTGGGGTAAAATTTCCCATTCTTCAAGGAGCATCTGACACAGTTGTCTGGTGTTCTCCGGAAGGTAGGATCGTGCAATCAGGCGTCTCCCTCAATGAGATCTAAATCAGTGAAGTCCGCTGGCCAATCCATACTACGCATATCATCATTTTAGGAGCTCCTTAAAAGCACGAGTCTTGTGTGACCGTGTATTTTCACCCATGAAAAACACAGTCGGGAGCAACGGTACCCAGGAAAAGATGCACGTGCGGGAGGATAACTTCATCGCACTAACGATCTCTGGTAAACTTCTGTCCATAATACGGAGCTCCGGCTGTCTGTTTATCAAAATGCATTCCCAGACAAGCACGCCAGCATCACTCGAATGATCTCTTTCCCTGATGTTAGTGGGATGAAAGCGTGTCCCTGCTTCTCTCCATAAGAACTGGCATCGAGAATCATTTGTCAGACGACGCTCATCGGTCAAGAGCAAATGTGACTCCCCTGATAAAGTGCCCAAGTCTTCGCGTTATGTACGTGACTCTAAACGGCGCCGCCAATGGGCTGCTGTCAGTTGTAAGCAGTGTTTAGGACGGTGGGTGAATAGGTCCCTTTTATGAAATCGTCCTGCACAGTAAACCCGGACGCCTGTCGTTTAGTTGCCGTGCGTAACTGCTGAAGAATGTTGCCGGCTGTCTGGTTTCCATCCCTTTTCGCCTGAGGGGCGAAATATCGGACATCAGTCACCGTTTTCCTCCTTGGCCGACCAACACAAACCTTTTTTTACAGCTGTAGTATATGTCGTTTGGTAGGCTTTCCAAGCCAGTAAAACAATACTTTCATCAATTCCAAACATCTGGCTGACAGACGTCAAACTACGCCGCTCCTCTAACTTGCCAATTACTCTACCATATATAAAGGTGTTCTGATGTTTTCTTGTAGCTATACTGTACAGACAATCTCACTTTCACTTGCAGAAGAGTGCATGGAAATGCGATTTTCTTTCTTTTTTCTTTTTTTTTTTTTTTTTTTCTTTTTCTTTTTTTTTTTTTTTAAGTTGCTACTGAGTTATACTGATCGCAAAAAGTCCTTTTCAACAATTTCGTAGTTGTACGTAGTTGTATGCTGATAAATGAATTTGTTGCTTAAGTTTTGTACACCACTCTACATACAAAACTACAGCAAAGTGCAAAACACAAATATACATCTCGAGGTGTTCCATCAAATGATCCAAATGCTGCGAAATTTGCAGAGCTTAACAGGAGTGTAATGAAAATTCATAGCATCTAACTTCAAAATAAGAAACTCTGGCAAGTGAATAATTTGATGATGATGGATCTTCCAGGATGAATAGCTTTGTCCTTCTACAGTACCATCGCCCATATGGCAATGGAAATTAAAAGGAATAACAGGATTAAAAACACTTCAGTCACTCCGTAGTCAGCTTTGTCACTAGACAGCAAGTATAAGAGCATTAAGTATTTTAAAAGTCTTTAAGGTGCGCATAGCGCATGCTCCCCCTGTTTCAAGCTGGCAATGATATTTACAAAAATTTTTTGTTATATGATAGCTATACGTTAGAGGGAGAAAAGGTTTCAAAATTTACTACAATTTTATGTCGGAGAAACTAAGTGCTTAAAGTCATATTACGCAACAGATAAAGGATGATTTCAAAAGATGGAGACAGATTTTCTTTATATTACAAATATTACTATTGTTCACAGTGGCCGCGTTAACTCTGTTCTCTTACTACTACTTAAAACAAATACAGTTGCTGTAATTTGCGAATTTCATCATTGGAACATTTCTCGATTAGGTTCGCTATATACACTTTCTCAGAGATGAAACACCGTTCATTTAAAAATATAAATAAAAATTATAAACAAGTCAGTAAATGAAACTTCGACTGTTGCTCTGTAGTAGGTTATGAATATATTCCTGCAATGCAGGTGCTGTATTAAGATCTTGGATGGATTATACACATCTTTCTGAAAAAGAAATCTAGCATTCTGAATCAAATAGGATAACACGGATATTTAACATACGTTGGCAGGATTTAGAAAGTCGACTAACTGTCGTTTCAACATGATTTCATAGTTTGCAATTGGATGCTGCATGGTCGTGAGCGATTTTGTGGAAAGACGCAGCTTACTTTCACTTGACCTGCGCTCAAGGCCAGCGCTGGAGCCAATGCAACATGTGCAGCCGCACCGGGCGGCATGGTTTAGGGGCGGCAAAATACTTACAATTTAGCAAGAAACCGGGCGGCCGAATTTCGGAGTCGCAGAGATTGCACCGGGCAGCAAAAGGTCTAGCGCCGGTCCTGCCTGCGCTATGCATACTCAGAATTTTATATATTACCTATGCAAAGCCAGCATATAATCTAATTCTTTTATCCAAAGTTACAATCAGGTGCGTGCTTACATCTTCGCTCATCTATATTATGGCTTTAATTTCGGGATATTATTAAGACAAGTATTTTGACCTACGCAGTTTATACTGCCATAAGATAAACTCAATCCAATTTTAAATAGTATTGATTTCCAAGATTTTTAAATTTAGTAGGACAATGAAGACATTACTTTTAATTAATCGCAAAATTTATGTTCTGAAAAAACATTTTTAGAAACACTTTAAGATATGTAATAAAAACGAACAGATAATTAACGCTATATAACTATAAATTTAATTTTTTTCACGTTTAATAAGATAATCTAAATTAAGACATATACATTTCATTTAAACAATTTACATTATATATAAAACACAAAACTTACATGATAAAGATTAACCAAATGATTGGATGTGGCAACGAGAAAAGCTTGCGTAACACCGGGATGGTCCAGATCATGCGCAACTGCTGCTATTACAGATGACATGGCTTCTAAAGGTGTCAAATGAGCAGCAAACTAATAGTAAAATTTAAAATTCATTAAAAAAGGTGTCATAACCAATAAGCTAAATTGAATGTATTTGTATTTAACTCACTTTGCTTTCTTGAAGAAAACAATGCATAGCTTGTGTAACATCAGCTGCATGAACAGAATTGTGATATGGATTGTGTCTGTGGTAAGCTGCTTCCATCAAGTCTGGAATAAGGAGTTTAGAAGCATTTTACTTTTTTTTTTTTTTTTTTTTTTTTTTGTCAACAAGAGCATTAAACATTTTAAACGCTTTACAAATAAACTATATAGTAAAAATAATTTACGTATTTCATATTACATCAAAAGAACGTCACACAGTTTCTTATTTTAAGTCTCTTAATGCAGAATATAAGAAGAATTGTCCCGACTAAATCAGATTACCAAACACATATTATACATTACTGAAATAAACTAGCAAGTTCAGAAGTTTTAATAATTTATTTGATCAGTTAAAATCAGATTGATTTATATTTAATTTAACATAAATTAATTCCAAAATTAAATATATGATTGTTTAAATCTTTCAAAAGTTGGTCAAGAAATATGTAAAATATAGGTCGCATCCAAAGAGTAAATTTTCCTACAGTCTTAAAAAATATTTACATATATAGAGTTACATGAAAACATTCACTGGCACCAATACAGCAATTGTTGAGCTACTGTTGCAACATATTTACTATCTGATTTGAGACACTTGCCGTACCGTGAAACATGGAATAACAGAAAACTTGTACTGAGCATCCTGTGCCTTTTGTTCTGGATAGCCCGTTGCAATTTCCATAGTGTTTGACAATAACGGTCGGCATTTACTGTTTGAACGCTGGCCAAGAAGTCGATAAGCAGAATACCGCGCACTGCAGTTTTCGTGTAGACAGAGTCTGCTTGAATTTTATACTGCACGGAAATTCACTGTGACGCCAATGGATCAGTTTCCGGGACAAAATGAGCAACCCATATTGAATTACCTGTGATGATCCTGTTGAGAAATTCGAGACCGTATTCATGATACCACTGCAGAAACGCAGATCCCACATATCTGCTTTTGTATTCGGTTGTCAGACTCGTCGACATCCACCTGGAACACAATTTCCGAAACAGGAAGGGACATGTGACAATTTCTTTCAACATTCGGGCACGCGTATTTGCCTTTCGCAATGATTGGCTTGCCATTTGTTGTAAGTGTGGTACATTTGTTTCATGGATGCGTCTCGCACATATGCTGAATTGCACGATACACACAACAGCTATTTCATCCTGTATATATCATTTTTTGTGGTAAGAACTGAATGAAAACTTAAAGTATTTGTAAATATTTGAAAAGAAACTTATGTTTGTTGCAAGAAGAAGTTATTTAGATTGAATTAGATTGGATTATGGTAAAGCATATGAGTGGTATTTGCCTGAGGGATGCCTTCATGGAACAGCTTTTAAGGGGAACTATTTCCTATATATGTTACACATAGGAAAAAGGCACAAAATCTCCCATGCAGCTCCCACGTTCACAGCGATTTGAGCCCAAGTCGAACTACCGGTGTTCAATAATCTTACCACTCAGCCGCCGGTTGCAGAGATGTTATTAATTCTTTTTTATAAAAATCAAAATGCAAGCACATAATTAGGCATATTAAATTTAGAAACTCATTTCCATGTGTACATTCTATCTATACTAAGACGCCTTATGATTTCATAGTTGCTAGTAGCTACACCATTCTTGTGCGAAATATTTCCAACAAGCTACCTATGAATACAACAGATTTCACGAACATTTTTAATTACATTTTTAATTTGGAAAGCTAAAGAAAATAAAAATATCTGCAGGAAAATCAGAATGTCATTAGATTAAGCCAAAGTTTTCGACTCTAAGCACACATTTAATGTTTTAAGGTATCATAATTAATCATGACTTCACTGCCCAAAATTTATATTTAACAAACTTTCACCTACAGAACACAAAATAGATAATAAGTTATCTAATACTAAAATTAAACAGCTTACATACCATATGCCGAACAGACAACATCAAATTTACTTTCTTGTTAGCAAAACACTCTCTACTTAGTTTACGCAAAAACGTAATTAGGGTGGATACTGCATAAACGTAATGAGTTCAAAACATATCCAACATTTATTCGATGGTAAGTAGGCGCGGTCATAACGAATATATGCTAATCAGAATACCTCTGAACTCTGAGTGTTTCTTTGCTGATAACTTTATTATGCTACTTTTTAAAAATATATAAAAATACTTCTGGTTATTCTTAAATGCAATGATGTGATAAATAGATGAAATTCTTGGCTAATCTTTGGAATATAGTAACATGTAGTTTGGCGACATTTTGGTAAGGCGATAAAGGTTACTAGCTAGGACTTTAGCAGTGTACATGGATAAAGTCAAGAGTGTGCGCAATGTCATTTTTGTGCAATTCTGGGATGTTTTTTTAAGTGCAAATAGGTCGACGTGTACATGGATACCGTGTATGTGCAATTCTTAAAAACGCAGCAAGCAGTGGGCGATTCTGCACTTTCTCCCAATTTCGCACCTAATCTTCGTCATGATTAAGCACTTTTGTTCCATAGAAGTTCTAGCATAAGCGTAATTCGGCTAGCAGATTGTTGAAAAAAAATGCTGAGTTAAAAAAAATGCCTTTACTTCGTGAAAACAAAATGGCGTTAAAAAAAAAAAAACTAGCAGGTTGCTGTAGCAGGGTTGGTCGCCAAAGTTTCTCCAAAAAATCGTTAAGTTACCATAATCCGAAGATTAACCGAATTCTTATTTATGTTGTATCTCTTCACACGGCCTATACAGATTAATTTTTCTTTCATTGGGGCAGCATATAAGAGGATCAGATAACAGAAACTGTCTCTTTCTTCCTTGCATTAAACTGAAAATATTTTGCCTCCACAGTGGACTAAGATTCCTTTAGGCTTATCTAGCGTTGTGAATGAGTGGAACAGATGTGCTCAAGTCTCTAGGAAGAGGTTAATTTAACCAACCGCATTTAATTTCCACATAAAACTTTCTAATCTTCTGTTCTGGTACAACAGCTGCAGAATTTTAGCTGACGTCACTTCTTACTTTCTTACGATCAGCAGATCTATAACAGCCTGAATACAGTTACAGCGAATTTTTCTCGCCCCAATTACGGTTTAGCTGAGATTTGTGTAATTTTTGCATGGACGGCGGCTCGCAGTTGCCGCTGGCTACTGCGGTTAAGTCTGAACCGCTGTTCGACAGAAATGCGCGTTCGGTAAGAGCTGGAGGATATAGAGCAGTTACCAGAAGTTCTTGTTGAAAATCGCCATTTGCATAATCTAAACATCTGGTCCAAGTATGCCTTGTCACTTCAGAGATTTCACAGTAGTTCATAAAACTGAAACCCAATTCACTCTATAGTTTCAAACTTAAAAAGAACTGTAGCATACCTTTAGACAAATACGCTGTTTCTAGATCTTTTCCATTACTTCTTAACAATACTTATATTGCAAATTATCTTTTGGAAGTTATCGATAAACTTAAGACTATTTCATCGCAGCATTCAATTATATTTCCTTCTGACGATAATTTACTTTTTACCTCCGCCCTGAAGAAGCACTGAAATGTCTTGAAAGCAGACTTAGGAATTTCGTTTGCCCCATTCCATATTAATCACATATTATAAACAATATTTACATACAAATTAAAGAATTAATCTCTCCCACTAGAATTTCTATGAGGCAAATTCACTGCGTTTTCTAAAATAATTATACCGTCAGCATTAACTAAGGGGTACTTTAATACAATCCAGTACTTTGATATTTACATGATTTAAGATTTTATATGTTATGAATTCAGATTTATTAGATTATGGCAAAGCCCACAAGGTGCTATTTGCCTAAGGGGAGAGATGCCTTCGCGGAAGAATTTGTTAGGGTAACTGATTCATACTGACATTTCACTGAATGAAAACCACGAAATCTTCCATGCTACCAGTCCATTCAACGAAATTTGAATCTGAATCGAGCTAGAAGAGTAGCGGAGCCGCTCAGACTTATATAGTGCTTAGGGGAGCCTAAAGCCTCGTTTCTACTATTGCGTACGAACGCGTTGCGTCAATTGAAGACACGCCTACGGCATCCGTACAAGCGTTTCCACTGCCGCGTATCTGTTATGATATCTGTTCTGTATCCGTAAAATATTTTCATTTTCCGCCGCTAGGTGTCACTGAAATATTTTGGCGCCAAACAGGCAGTTCGCGAGTTACGACGCTGAACATCTGAATTTTTCCCGCTTAAGCGAGTATTGTTTGCTTTGGATTTGATATGGATCCTGACGTAAAACGCAGAAAAGTTTTGTTTACTAAATTCCATGTTATTGAACATTTTTATTTTTGCTTATGAACTGCGAAAGTAAATTAGGCTAGCAAATTTTAGATAAGTAAGGTTATAATGCATATTATGAACATCACTAATTCCATAGAAGCTGAAATAAATTAAAAATTTTTTTTTTTGTGTTTCTAGAAGCCTTAAATATTAATGAAATAATATATATATTATTAAAACTAAAATGTACTGTTAGTGAAAAAATAACCAAATAAATAAATAAAATTAAAAATTTAAAGGAATTAAAAAAGAGTTGGTACTTTAAAAATACACAGCAACTGTAAAGAAAAGTTCACAATATCTACACAAAATTTGCTATGTTTGTATACTGCTGACTTCAGGGTCATAGCCGGATAATTTATTAGAAATCTCGTTCGTTTTAAAATGCACTATGGGCAGTTATATTTTATGCATAATCCATAAAATATTATTTTTAATTTAAACATTTTTAATTCATTTCTATTTTTATAGAAGAAGTTATAAATATAAGATTTTTCTCTTTATATATACACACATTAGGTAAAGAAAATAGAAATATTTAATTAATTAATTCCTGCGCTTCTGCTGGAGAGGACTGAATTTAAAAGCAATTATTATAGTAATTTTTTGTTAAAAAAATGTTTAGGGCATTAATACTGTCTCATGTTAATTGGTAATGAAAGATTAGAGTCGTAAACATCCCAAAGTCTCAGCCCATGTATATGCGTTCACATAAAAGTGAAATGAAAATATATATGTATATATCTGCAAGGTTTCAAAATAAATTAAATTTAAATAATTCTCTTGCGCCATTGCTGCAAGGAATG